CTCAGATGGTGTTGCTAAATGACCAATCACATAACAGATCTAAGTTATGGCTTTGATTTATGCACATGAGTTTATTAACCTGTAGTAGAGACTGAGAAATTCCGTCTAGTGAATACATAGGTATGTATGTGGGATCTGTGTACGTTATGTCCATTATGTCATCGTGATAGAAGTTTGATGACTTCCATGACCAAGAGTCCTTCGTGCCTGAGCCATCGTGACAATCTGTGATCCTCCCTTTTAAATGAAAGAAACAGTTTCATCGGTATGTAGGTTGATACAGTTCGTCATTATGTACATTGCTTATCATACTGGAAACAAAGAGATTATCAGGGTATTGTCTTATTTTGCCAGCCGAAGACTACCCCATTTTTCGTAGTTAAAAAACCAGAGCAAGGTTACATCGGATAACGCAGCTGCTGTTATTTAAAACATCCTCGTTCAGCTTATTCTTCAATTTCTTTAAAGTATTGGTGTCCACCTGCATCATTCTACAACTTCGCTCAGTTACTAGGCCCGCCTAGATTGATGTCTTTGTTTCAAAAATTGGACTTTAATCCTTTTTTTTTTCTTTTAAGTACGTGCTAGAATTTTCCAACGACTAAAGAAATGATTTCAAAATTACTCATTTTGCTTCTAGCACTCAAAAATTTTCTGCGGCTGTCCCCTTTGAGAAGCAATTCTTCTCTAACCTACCAAACGCACAATAAAGATAAGAATATCCTGTTAACAACGTGTTTATTCAGTGCGTACTGTAAGTTAAAGATACTTATTTTTCCGTTCTGGTCTGTGACCTACTGCACAGACCTAAAAGACGAGGATACTAATATGTATTTACCTTAAAATTTTGTTGTATTTTAAGAAAATTTTCAGTGCCAATAAATTTTTCAAATAAAAATTTTGGGGAAACATCTAGATCAAACTTTGTGATAAGCTTTGCTTACATGATTCGGCAAATTGAACGGCGTCATCATAAAGAGTTCCGTCGGTTCCCATGAAATCGTTAGTGGCATTGTTATCCATGAAGCCACACAGTCCTTCAGTGTGACCTTTGTAAGCAGCAGTTGGCGAATAAAGAATATTCAAATATTGTCTCTTCATAACTCGACTATGACGAACGTCGATGGTTACTGTTACGCCTGAGAGAAGTAAAAAAAGTCATATCTTAGACGTAACGAAATGTGGCGAGGCTGTAATACTACGGTAACGAGGGCTTTCTTCTCTGACCTTCGACATTCGAGACCGGAGTCACCTACCGTCTAGCAATAACTAACCATTTCGCCTAAGCGTCGTTTCGCCCTCGACCACTTCGTTAACTTCTCAAATCATTTCGTTAACGTCTCGGGCTAGTTCACCCGCGTCCTATTGATTGATTTGCTGACATTTCTTCTCTGCTTGGACATCTCATTAAAGTCGAACTCTTCAACCCTTTAACTCCCGTGAGTGACCAAAACAGAATTTCTCTTTATTATATCTATACAATATCATGCAGAAAAGTGATAAGAATAAAGGCAAACATCAACTATGGGATTATTAATTGATCTGATACCAAATTCTCTAAACTAACATAATGAGAATCGTTTGGCAGACAGTAATGAGAATTGCTAATAAGATCTTGGGAGTTAAAGGGTTAAGTGATAAAGTTCCTGTACTGGCTTGGAGGATTTTTCTCGGAGTTGGACCGTAGGTTTTCCTTCTCTCACCAGTGAAAGACCAGATAAACCAACAAACAAGCAAATAAAACAAACAGATATACTTAACGAAAACCCTCCAATTATGGCCCAACATGATGGACGAAGAGCATCCCTTGGAAATTTATTCGCGTAAGACCATTTCCTATTTGGGGCAATTTGAGGAACTAAAAGCATTGTTTATTTCTGGATAAAAGTCCAGCTGGTTAGTATTCATACCTACTGATCTTATGAATGACTTGGGCAAAAAGGAAATTACTTGAAATATCTTTTAAGGACTTACCTGCGTCATACTGAAGTGAAATTAAAACGACGCTGTTCTCCTCAGCCTCAAAAGAAAAACGTCTTTGATGATCCAATAACACTGTGCCATTACTTATTTCAATAGGTTCTGACAAATTACTGGTGGCATTCATTTCCACTCCATCGATTCTGTTGAGAAATCAGGGTCAGTCATAAAAAGTTCTTGAATGATACTGGTTCAATCAAGGTGAATTGCATCTCCTTATTAGGGTTAGTGAGTCAACATCGCAATAGGTTGTATCTGAACAAGTAAGTACTTGAAGATCCCAGTCACCCTGGCTATAGCCTCTATTATGGAAATACTTTGTTTATTGATTAAGAAGCATAAACCAAACCTTGTAATGGGCAAGTCTTGAACTCTTTCAGTCTTGATCGTCATAATCGTAACAACACTTCTCCCAGCTTTGAGTGCAATTCCACCAATAAGCGAAGCTCGCTCGTAATAATAAAAACGAAATTGAAGACCAAAATCGTTTTTAACACTCTTGCAACCCCAGAACTCTCCAATTCCAAAAAAGTCAAAATTCACACCTGGCGAAGAAGGCAAAAATCAAAACTGCCATCACAAACATTACACAAACCCTGAAATAAAGCTCTCATTTACAAACGAAAACACAAAGGATTGTCTGAAATCTATCGTTTGGACAAATTGTTGGACCTCTTTCAGGGTTTTTAAATTTTTCTTTAACTCTCGATCGAAAATGAGTGAATGTAGAATCTGTTTTTCTTCTCTACTTACCATCTAATGTTTCGAGATGTGGGTCACCTCCACCATTTGCAATTAAGCGCTCACAAAATTCTCCCTCCCATCCTCCTGAACAGTTACACTCCGCTTCACACTTTGGGGCTATGATAGGATCTCCGTTACCTGAACAGTCTGTAAAGCGAATTATCATGACTTTGCCAAAAGAAAGATTATTGCAGTGATATATTTCGAGAGTACTAAAATATACATAAATACGTTTGTTATTTCACTACTTCGCCACATTGTCATGATTAGGGGAAAGGGACGCGCAAAATACGCCGGAGTATTACTCTGGCCGCGCTGAATGATCGAAAACTTGCTTTTTTTGGCTTTTAGGCTCAACTTTTTAAGAAAGGAACTTGTAAGTGTACCAGAGTTTTTTGTTGCATTGGTCAGAAAAACGCTTTAGTAGTTTCGCCTGTGTTGTTTTTGTTTTTAGCGCACACCTTATGCGATCGGTAAGACGCTCAGAACGGCCGGGAAGTATTTTGTAGACAAAATGTTTGAATGCCAGAAAATGAGATAAAGGTGGAATAAGAAATCCCCTATTGTAGGGTCATAAAACTGAAAAAAGTTTGAAAAATTGCTTTGCTCCTGTTTTTCCCCGCTCTTACGGGGTTCGAAATGGAATTATCAAATTAAACTTTGATTTATAGAGCTACAACAAATGCGGCTCTTGATTTCCTGATTATCTTCACCACCACCGATTATCTTCATATCAGTAATAGCAATATTGGACACAATGTTAGCTTCATGAATTCAAACTTATTTAACACATATCTATTTGCAATAAGATTATAAAGAAAAAGCAAAAACGGAAAGGAAAAAAAGCCGAATAGGAATTAGCTAGCATACAGAAATACCCTGTAGCCGTTTGCACGTCGGCCGAACAATTTTCTCAAAATTTCAACTTAGAAGCTCTTCCAACTTCTTGAGAACTTGAGATGTAGTCGTTATAGAAATTTCAAGTGAATCCGAAAAAAAAAAAAAGAGATCTATATCCCTCTTTTAAAAATTCTTCCGCCAAACTCAGTAGCATGTTTTGTGCTCTTCGCAATTTAATTTTCTTTCATCGCGCTTATCACCTCCTCGAAAACATTGACAAAACGCAAGGCAGCCATTCTTCAAAAGGAAATTTAGTTCAAATCTTTTTGCTTGCAATTTGATTATTGGATGTTCTAAGAAGAATGGAAAAATTTTCCTTACAGGCTTTTTAAAAAAGAAATAAAGAAACCTGGATTGAAAAATAAAAAATAAATTTAAAAAATAAATAAATAGCCTGAGTCAGCGCTAATCGCCCCTCGAAACAACTGGGCCCTGCTGAGTAGTTATTGTCAATAATCAAGTTGTAATGCTGATGACATATGCTTACGCTATGTGCCAATTGATTTGAATTTGGTTTTTCTTTGTTTCTTTTTGCTTTTTGCTTTTTCCATAATAACGTTACTGCAATTAGGTTCATAGTTTGCAGGTCCATTTACTGTTACATACTCCGAAGAAGCCCTCTATGTGGCTGATCGCAGTCAGGGCCTGTTCGTTCCCCAGAACAGATAGGTCCTTTTCCGCATTGAAATTTTCCGGTCTTTCTGTTTTCGAGAAAGTAAATCAATAATGAATCCATGAATTCATCCGTCGGCCAGTCGGTCAGTCGGTCAGTAAGTCAATCAGCTGCTGGATCTGTTATTCAGTCTGCCAGCTAGTCGATCAGTCAATCAATCAGTTAATTAATCCGTCAGTTGTTCAGCCTGTCAGCCAAATGGCTGGTCGGCCAGTTGGCCAGTCAGTTGTATTATTGCTGCAATATTCTTCCAACTAATTATATCTCTAGCAAAGCTTCAACCAATCTCTTTTGTAGTGACATGATCATTTCAGCACATTTTTTTTCTTTATGAGGCTAAAAATCACTTTAAGACCAAGCAAACAGCAGCATTTGGGAACGGGAGGTTATTTACACGCTTGAAGCCCCAGGCTTCCTACGGGCTATAACACGTTATGTGATAGAATAATCAGCACTCTTACCCACTTGGAAGTACTTTATATCCATTCTTATTTTTCGGTGATTGATTGCCATTCCCAGGTGTTGGATTTCCATTCCCAGGAGTTGGATTTCCATTTCCAGGTGTTGGATTGCCATTCCCAGGTTTTGGATTTCCATTCTCAGATGTTGGATTGCCATTCCCAGGTTTTGGATCTCTATTCTCGGGTGGTCTCGGTCGCGGTGGTGGAGATCCCACACATAACTGTTACAAAGAAGATGCAAATTATATTTAAAACTAACAAAATAACGTTACACGAAGGACGCTTACTACAAAGGAAAAAAAGGCAGGCTGAATAGAATTGAAAAGTAAAATTTTAAAAGATAGCAATAACGCATATAAGTTATAGTTATAATAACTTACTCTCTCACTTTTGACTGGACATATAC